TGCTCTACACAACAAGTTCCAGACCAACAGGCTGAAATGAGATCCTGTCTCAAAACAATGACAAAAAAGGAAATAGTAAAAAAGAAAATATTTTTAAAAATTTTAAATAAGGTGAAGAATGATTGTGGAAGACACCTAATGTTGATTCCTGGCCTCTATCTGCATGCACACATATGTACACATGAAAACACACACACAGTAAGCACACACACACACACACACACACACAGGCATGCACACAAGTTTTTAAGAAGCAATTCTGTAGTTCTAGTTTCCCTTTTCTTTGAGTTTTCCTCTTCACCCTTTCTGTCTTCCCACAAGCCCAGAGTCTTCATTCTCTGGCCTACAACTGAAGCACTTCTTTACTCGCTAAGTCAATAACTCACTGAGTGCATTGTTGCTCGGTGGCTTTGGGTGCCAGCCACAGTTCTCACTGACCTCACGCTGCCCCCCCCCAGTCACAGGAAACCATTTGATTGTCTTTCCCTCCAACAGTCTTTTCTTGCACTTGCTCCCTCTCAGTTTTATTGTTACACACTGTCGCTTACCCATCTAATCTTGGGAGGTTCCACCTGACCTTTGAATCATTGCAGAGCCTTCCTTTCCTACCTTCCTGTTCTATGGTTTCCTTGGAGATGCCCTTGCCTTGTCTGTGGTACCCAGATCATCCTTGTTCTGAGTTGCCCTTGCACTGTCTCCTTCACGGCTGTCCTCACCTTCTGTGGCTTCAGCCATCACTCTTTGGGTAGAAAATGTCACAGCCCTGGGTTCGCTGCCTGCAGCTGGCGTCTAAATATTTCCACCCATGATTTTCTAAAATCAACAAAGTTTTGACTGACTTTATAATCTCTATTAATGGCATTACTTTTTCTCCCTGTCCATCCAGGATAACCCTTAGCCATTTAGATCCTCGAGATTGGATCCTATACATTTAACTTCCCAACATTTCTACCTTCTTTTTTATTCTGTGATACCTGCTGCCACCATCACTGTTCAAATCCTCAAATCTTTCGTTTTCCATTCCCACTGTTTCTCTTTTTTAATTCCCATTAATGTTTCTCCACGATCTTCCCCATACCATCTGTTCCTCAAGTCCTCCTTTTACCATACAAATCTTCCAAAACAGAAGGCTGGCCCCCAAATGATGAAGTGAAAATTCCCCATCCTATTATTAGATTATCTCCAAACAATGGTCTTAATTTATTTTGCAAGCCTTAAGCTTCACATCTGGTTTATTTATTGCCCTGTCACCAAGCTAGAAATATGTAGCGCGAACAATAAAAACCCAGAGACAGATATTGGGGTTCAAGCTGAAGATAAGGGAAGGAAAGCAGCCAGGCACTAGACAGTTCTCACTTCTACCAAATGCTCAGACCAAAGGGATGATCTACCAAACCTCAGATTGCATCTCCAATCTGTACTCCTCATCAAATCTCAGACTGCTCCTGAGACTGCACTGAGCTCCTTATATTCTCTCTAGTGCTAAGATTAAAGGCACAAACCTTGTTTCTCTTTTAGACCGTGGCCTTGAACTCACAGAGATCCAAGTGCCTCTGTCTCCTGAGTTCTGAGACTAAAGATGTGGCCACCACTGCCCAGCTCCTATAGCTGTGGCTAGCTTTGCATTCTGATCTCCAGCCAAGCTTTATTAGGTCATAAACAATGCATCACCACAGGTAAGTCCATGAGTACCCACCACTCTCATTCTCCTCAGCCTGGATGTGGTTCCTCATTCTCAACTGTCCTGCTCTGTATCATACTCAGTTCCCTGCTTTTCTGTGCTAAACCCAAATCTCAACCAAGTTGATCCTGACACATTCACTATCGCCATGATCTGTCTTCCCAAGGCCGAGTCAGGGATCTGCATTGTTAAGTAGTCTTTAGTAGTTTGCTCATGCTACTATACCATTAATTTGTAATAACTTTCAACAGTTTGTGTGTGTCTCCCTTAAGCCCTCTAAGCAAAAGGAATACTATAACCATTACTGTGAGTAAAGAAGCTTTGTGGTAGCTAAAGCTGCCCAATTTCTTTTTTCCTTTAGTGACTCCAATGTCAGAAATCTCTGAATGGAAAGGAGGAGCAGCTGAGGGGTCACACTAATGTAAGTTTTTACTGATAATACTAGTAAAATATTGTCTGCTAACCAGGTCTCACAAATAAGATGGAGAAGTTGGAGAGATGGCTCAATGGTTAAGAGAATTGGCTGTTCTTGCAACACATCCAGGTTCAGTTCTCAGTACCCACATGGCAACTCACAGCCATTGTTAATTTCAGCTCCAGGGACCCGATGCCCTCTTCTGGCCCCCATGGGCATTGCATTCATGATGTGCATATGCATACATGCAGGCAAGCACTCATACACCATCACACACACACACACACACACACACACACACACACACACACACACACACACACACATTAAACTCCTGGGCTTAAATCTCAAAGGTGTGACTTTTAAGAGTAGGATAAGGTGGGGTGGCATATGTCTTCATTCCTAGCACTTGGGATGCAGAGGCAGGCAGATTTCTGTGAGTTCAAGGCCAACCTGGTCTACAGAGAAAGCTCCAGGACAGTCAGGACTACAAAGTGAAACACTGTCTCTAAAAAAAAAAAAAGTAAGATGAAAAAGGGATTAATAAAGAAATATCAATATCAACAACTGGGTTCCACATGAACCCAGCCAGTCAAGAACAACTATGTCATCTCTCTCTCCTCTCTCTCTCTCTCTCTCTCTCTCTCTCTCTCTCTCTCTCTCTCTCTCTCTCTCTCTCTCTCTCTCCTCTCTCTCTCTCTCTCTCTCTCTCTCTCTCTCTCTCATGTTGGCAGTAAAATATCACGCTATATCAATTTTAAATGGCTAAAAAGCATGCCAGAATCTGGAGCTAATCATTAATGACTTTTAATCAAATCAGTGGGACTCGTGTTTAAGAGACTAACTGGAGAGTCTAATATGAAAAGTCAGTCAGACCCCTCCCTCTGCAGAACCCCCTAGGGATTACTAAGCACTCAGAATCTTGGCCCTCTTAAGGTCCCAATTCAGAAAGTCTGGGTAGAACACAAAAATCTACTTCTAATCATCATCCCAGGTATCCACTGGAGAGACAGGAAAGGAAAATAAAATTGTCAAGATCTCTAAAACTTTTATGTGCATTGAATCTATGTGGAGATCTTGTTAAAATAGTCTTAATCCATGGCTCTGGGGGAAGAGAGCATGAATCACTTCTTACAAACTCCTATATGGTGTTTGTGATGACCAGGCTTGGAAATCACTCCCAGTTTTCCATGTGGGCTCAACTCAACTCTATTATTGAGTTTCCTCCTTTAAGTGTAGGCATTCTGAGGACAGATGCCTGACTATTGAGCTACACCTTGAGTACATTTCAACAGATGGCTGCAGAATTTTAAGGTAGGATGTGGTTGCTAAAACTCGTCCTGGGAAGTATGTAAAGAAAGTCTATCCTTCCTTCTAAGGCCCCAAGGACAAACCTAGATATCCAGGGAACAAATAAGTTTATTGAGCACATGTGAGGGGTTACATATGGGTGTGTAGGTGCCCCCTCAAAGGCCACACTATGAAGTAAGTATATTAACCAGTAAGATAGCTTTCCCATAGCTGCATAAATGGAGCCCCTTCCCTAGTCCTTCCCACCTATATCCTCCAGCCTTTTCCCCTAAGCCCCAAGTGCATATGAAATCAGAACAACATTGTATAAAACTTGTTAGGAGAGGCTGGAAGTGTGGGTCTCATGACCTTTCCCGCACCCTCATATGTAGGAATATAAACAGTCAACAGGCACAGCCAAACTCCCAAAGGTAGTTTGGCTCAGAGGATAATCCTGTACAACAAATTCACTTTTTTTTCCCACAAAATTTGTGAGCAAATAAGGTTTAATCTCTCATGAATATGCATTAGTTCTTCAAGTCCTGCGGTCAAGGGAGTTCAGAATAGTTTAGCAAGGAATAGTAGAAGTATTCAGCTACCTGCAGACTCTCATTGGCAGAGCCTGACCTGTCTATCCTGTTCCCAACTGCAATCTGTGTTCAGGAACACTCATGGTAGGGCCCAATGCGTATGAATCCCTACACTCTCTTGACCTTATCTCCAACTCTTGGGTTTTCACTCTACAGTTTCAAGATGAATGTGTTCAGCAATAAGAAAGCAGTCTTTTGAGTCTCTGGATTCCAATAAATTTGGTCTCTTTAAGTCCCTTAGCCCCAATATAAGAAAACAGCTCAATAAATCCTCTTTCCAACAAGTTTCCGTGACCTAGCCATCTGCCTGCAGAGAAATAAACCAAGTTCCACACTTTGAATCAACTATGTTTCCAAACATCTCTCAAAACCCAGCGAGCATTAAGGACACAAATAAGAACATCCACCATCCTGATCATTCCTTCCGTCACATTAAACAAAGAAACACATAGTTCCCTGCAGAGGAACAGAACAGATGAAGCAATAGAAGGGGCACCCCCACTCGCCTTCTCCTGTCGCTTAGGCAAGAGTCAACGCCTCCCAACCCCCGTCACGTTGCAGGTGTCCCCGCTAGCTTTTCACATTTAGACCACTTCAGTTTCTTACCGATGATAGATTTGGCTGTTCTGCTTTATGTCGTCTAATTTCATAAAGGCGTTTTTACTAAATGTTTCTCCTATGGTTTAAATGTATCCCCCAGAAATCCATACATTAGAAATTTAATCCCTACATAACAGCACTGGGAGGCAGGACTCGGTGGGAGGTGTTTAGGCCACAGTGCTCATCTCTCAAGAAAAGATTAATGCCCTTTTAACGGCCCTGACAGAGGAAAACATTTTTCTTGCTCTCTTTCTCTTGCCCTTCAACCTTGGGGCTGTTCTTTATAAATTACCCAGACTTGGGTTTTCTGTTATAGTAATCAATACCAAAGAGACAGTGACCATTTCTAAACCACTATATCCTGTTGTTGGGATACCAGCTTTTAAGGGCCCCCACCCGTGGTTTTTATAAGGTTACCACATACCTATGCTGGCTCCATAGGACAGAAATTCCTTCTTAAGAAATACTCTTCTATTCTTCTGGGACATCTTTTCCTAAGAGCTCCACCACTGAAAAAAAGAAAAGGAAAGAAACGTCTGTCTCAATTAGCTAGTAGTCACATGACAGGGACAGCTACTGTCTCTATTCCCACACATCCCTTCTCTTCTAATATTTTGGATCTTACAGTTCTCATAGATTCGTGGCACAAACTGAACCAGGCCAATGAAAGTAATGATCAAAAAATGTGAGAAGGTAACAAGTTGGGACTCTGAGCCACTTGGTGGCTGGGCTGATAAGATGTGAACTGAAACAGCTAATAGCCATCATGTCACCCATGGAAGAGCCATCTGAGGCATCAACGCAGAGGAAAGTGAGATCTAAACTGTCCCAAAGAGCCAGTTACAAATATCAATGCCTTCCCTTTCTGTTTGCTACTCTGAAGTGAGTTTCTCTTAGTTACAGCTGATAGACGATTCATGAAGTGATAACAGTAATAAGAGCTTTACACAGCACTTGCTATATGCCAGGCATGCACTGTTGTGCCTTCTATAATTAATCATTTAATATTTACCACAATGCTTTGCAGTAAGTATTCATCATCACTGTCTCCATTTAATAGTTGAGGAAATTGAGGCAAAGAGCTTCCTTAGGACATCCTCCTAGCAAAGTGACGAGGACAGGATTCAAACAAGAGCAATATAGATCTAGACTGAGTTCTCTAAACCATGACCACTCAAAAAATGGTTCATGGCCTGGAGCCAGTCTTCAAACTATTAACTGTCTGCTTTTCCATAGTGTGAGAAACATTATTCAACTTCTAGAGTACTCAGAGTGCTTTAGACATAAATCAGAGCCTTTCTTCAAATGCTCTTAAGTTTCTATAAATAATGTTGGTGTCACTTGGCAATCCCCAAATATATTACTTCCTGACTCAATCCCAATGTTTCAAAAAAAAGTCATTTGAAGTATCTTTAGTTCCCATGACTCTGGCTTCTGGGTTAGAATGGGATCCTAAGTTCTCAATGGAGTGATTAAGACACTGAAGTCTTACGAGTTAAAGACGCAGAACTGTAGGAATAGTTAATGGTTTCTTTCCCCTGTGTCTTGCCCTAAGCAATCTGAACAAAGACAGACAAATTCAAAATCCTAGCCAACCAAGAAGCCCAGAAAGCAAGTGTTAGATTCAAACCAGACATTTGCAGGAGGGGCCATCATGAATCTTAGACTACTGAGTCTGCCCTGGTGGTGCAGGCCTGAATCTCAGCTATTCAAGAGACTGAAGCAGGATTCCAAGTTCAACACCTATCTGGGCTTCAGCATGAGTTCAAGGGCAGCCTGGGCAATTTAGTAAGAGCCTGATTCAAAATTAAAAGTAAGAAGAAGGCTGTGAGTGTTGCTCAGTGATAGAACACTTGCCTGGCATGTACCAGACAGTGAGTTCTATCTCTACTGAGAGAGAGAGAGAGAGAGAGAGAGAGAGAGAGAGAGAGAGAGAGAGAGAGAGAGACCTCTAATCTGTACCTTGACATGGCTAAACAGTGACTAAGACACAAAGTTAATTCATCCCAGACTAAAAAAACAAAAATAAACAAACAAAACGTGTCTTTTGACAATCATGTCATGAGAGAACGTTAAGCAGACAAATACAAGAGAAAAAAAATGCAGTCATTTGTTTCTTTTTGAGACAGAGTCTCACAAACTCCAGGCTAGCTTTGAACTTGCTGGGTAGGCAGAGTGACTTTGAACTTCAGATCCTCCCACCTCTACCTCCCTACTGCTGGAATCCCACTACCACACCTGGCTTGCACAGCACTAGGGATTAGCTGAGAGTCTCAAGAAACTCAGGGTCCTCCCTCATGTCAGGCAAGCACACCACAATTGGAGCTACATCCGCAGTCCCCAGAAAAAATGTCTGACCTTGTTAGTCATCAATGAAATGCAAAATAAGACCACAAAGATACCTCTACACACCCACTGAAGGGGCTAAAATTAAGGAGACTGCAGCAACTCTCATATCTGGTTGGTAGAAATAGAAAAAAAATGAAGTTTCTTATAAAGTTAAAATATATCTGCCCTTTGACCCAGAATTTCTAGTCTTACATATTTCCCCCAAGAAACACAAAGACTTATACAAAAAATGTCCACAGCCTCATGATGGGAATAATCCAAACCCCAGTTGGGAGTTGATTAAGTAAGCCCATTTTCCATGTATCCCTATTGTAAAAGTAGACAAATGAAATCAACACCTACAGCCCGTGAGCTGAAATTTACATACACAGTGCTGAGGGAAAGAAACAGCACAGAATACATTGTATGTGTAGCCACTGACATAAAATTCTAACGTAAGTAAGCAAATCTTAGGTTTAAAAAAAATGGAGACTGCCGGGCGTTGGTGGCGCACGCCTTTAATCCCAGCACTCGGGAGGCAGAGGCAGGTGGATCTCTGTGAGTATGAGGCCAGGCTGGACGGACAGCCTCCAAAACAATACCGAGAAACCCTGTCTCGTAAAACCAAAAAAAAAAAAAAAATGGAGACTGCCTCTTAGATACAAAATAGAAGACTACAAAGTAAATATTGGTCTCTCTTTTGCATCCTTATCTTACCATAAACATCAAGTGTTAATACCGTGCAATTTTATGTTGCATTTGTTCATTCATTTATTAAGGAGGCACAGAGTCACTTCTTGTCTACCACCTTGTGAGACCCAGGGATGGCACTCAGGTCCTCCTGTTTGGTGTTCAGTGCCTCCACCAGCTGAGCCACTCAAGTAATAACTTCTAAACTTTTAAGTAGTAATTTACATAAACTTTTAAGATACTCATGTAAGAAAATTAATCAGTCAGGCAGAAATATTAGAGCAACTTTCGTGTCAAACAAGGAAGGGGGAAATGGGACTAGAGTATAATATATCATATATGTGTGAACGTGTTGTTTTGACTTTGGTACAGTGACTGTGTCTAAATCTACTGCTATCTCAGCCATCAATTGCAACTCTGCAGTTATGGGCTGTCTTTCTAGCAGCAGCCTGACAAGAATTCTGCTCCCGCAGACACAGGGACGCTGTCTCTGTCACTCCCATAAAGGTATATTCAACTAAATCTGTCATTCTAGTTATGAATGAGACTTGAGATTCAAAGGCTGGGGTGAAGACCTGCGAGCTCAGAGAGGCTGAGTAGCAACTATTTAACCCCTTCTCATTGCTGGAGTTCATGGAAGATCCATGCTTCCACTTTGCCAAACCAGAAAACCTGTACCATTCCAAATGCCACCCAACTACTTCCTGCGTCTCTCTGTCTCTCCTGGATGCACTCTGAGGCTCTATAACTACTTTCTGTCAGCTAGTTACTAACTCAGCCTCTGACCCAAGGTTAGTTTTATTTAATTAACACAAATGCAAACTGAGGGTTCACAGTATGATGGAATATCTACCAACGTGGATGTGTGAAGATTTATCGGAAATATGAAAAACATTCACACTATGTCAAGTGAAAATATACACAAACTTATTTATTTACTTGGTTTTCCCATTTTCTTTTTTTCTTTTTGGTTTTCCCATTTTCTATAAAATAAATTATATGATGCGAACAATAACTTAAAACTCCAGAGATTATAGTGAACTTACAGGAATAAGGATGAGGGGTTAGAAGAGCAGATATGACTCAAAGACAGCTGCATCACCAAAGCACACTCCAGCATAGGTGACAGAGTGGGCATTTAAAAATCCATTTGAAAATGTACTCCATTGTGTAGATGTACCACATTTTCTCCATCCACTCTTCAGGTGAGGGCATCTAGGTTGCTTCCAGGTTCTACAACCACAACCACTATTTTTCCAGTACTTCATCTGCAGGTATCCACTTCCACACCTTCTTTATACACTTATGTAACTCAAACCCTAGTTGTGACAAAAACTGTTCCTGAATTTTACAGATTTCTATAAAATTTCTTATGCAATAGGAATTTCTTTAAATTACATATGAGGTACATTTCTTACTATAAATTTTTAATGAGATACGTTAGCTTCAAACTGACCATCCTCCTGTCTCAACCTCCTGACAAATTAAAATTCTGCTCAGCAACAATAAGAAAAACAAAGTTGTCACTTTGTCTCAACAGCCTTCTGAGGGTGGCCATTAAGCTAGAACTGCAAACAACTCTCCTGCTAAAGGGTCTGGTTCTCGGGTTACTTTTCAAATGGATTTTTAAATGCCCACTCTGCTTTTTTAACTGTTGAGTAAAAGCTAGGATAACAAGCCAAAAGTCATGTTTTATCACAGCCCCAGAACATGTGGAGCACTCAAGTGACTCCAGTGTCATCTCTTAGCCAAGGCAAGGGACATCCAGACCTGGTCCCCAGACCAAGCCCTATGAGTTGAATCTCAGGACAAACCAGAAAAGAGAATACATGTGACTATGTTGTCCCACTGGTCTGCCCCAGAGTAAGGGATGAGTCCCTCGATGTCTTCCCTGACTCATGTGCCAGGCCCCTTAATGTGATAATGAGCCACTCATACAGTGTTCTCATTATCCTCAAAGGGTCAACAAGAGTTGAGCATGAGAACATTTAGTCATAAAACCCTTACTAAGGCCTCTCTGAGAACTGCCTATCTCTCCGAGGCCCACCTCAGAGCCTCATTGTCATAAATTCAGGTTTGGTGAAAAGGTAACACCCCTTTTCTATTCATTTTTTGTTTGTTTGGTTGGTTGGAGGTTTTGTTTTATTTCCAGCAGGAGTGGTAGGGTCACTATATATAAAATGGATTTTATATAATACATATATATATGTGTGTGTGTATATATATATATGTATATATATATATAACATTTTGTGTACATTGGTGTTTTACCTACATGTATGTCTCTGTGAGGGTCTCAGATCACCTGGAATAGGAGTTACAGACAGTTGTGAGCTGTCATGTAGGTGATGGGAAATGAACCCAGGTCCTCTGGAAGAGCAGCCAATACTCTTACCCATTGAGCCAGCTCTCCAGACCCTGGTAAATTTACTTTTGTGGTTATTATCTTTCAGTAAGACTGACTTAAAAATTAAAGGATATCATTTTGCTT